TCGATCCCCAGTATTGCAATACATTTTTTTAATTTTTAAAGGCTTAGATGAGCTTCTAGAAGACCTCCTACTGGAGGGGCAGTGAGGAGAGTCCCAGTGAACAGGCTTTCTGGGAGGAGGGGCACTGAGCCAGAGAGACAGAGCAAGTTAGACCAGCTGAAGCCACAGTGAGCTCCACAGGCCTTTGTCACTGGTGTTCAGGGCCACAATTTAAACTGAGGCCTAAACTGCCTTGCCCACCAGCCCTAAGGCAGGCAACAGTGCTACCTCTTTCCCAGAGCCCTCACGGCCCAGGCAGCCTTTACCCAGTGTTACCTGGCTGGTACTCATGGCACTCCCCAGAAGTAAGAAGCTAGGGCACAGCTCTGGGGCAGGAGATACCACTGAGGGCCAGAAAGCTGGACCCCAGCACTGCTGTCAGTGAGCAGAGAGCCCTTAGCATTCCAAAGGGAGACTGGGAATCAAATCCCCTTCGCCTGAATGTGACCAGGTCTTCTCCAAGGGACTGCAAGATGTCTAGCCCAAAGAAGAGGCAGGGACCCTCTCATTGCAGATTCTCCTAACATCATAAGACACACTGGGAGGGGCGGCTCCAGCCTGACAGGGACCCCCAAGTTCTTTCCCACTCCCCAGTCTGGAGCCCCAGGGCCTTAAATATCTCCCTAACCCAGAGACAGAGTAGACCAAGCAGCCAGCAGGAGGCAGCATGCAGGTCCTGCTGTCAGCAAGGCATCTGCATCACTTCCCTGTGGCCTGGCAGCTCAGTCCAGGGGTGCTGCCAGGAGAAACTAGACAGGACCGGGGATATGGCTCAGCTGCACAGTACCTACCTGGTAAGCACAAGATCCTGAGTTCGATTCCTGGTATCAAAAAAAGAAAAGAAAAACTACAGGCTACAAAGGTGTTCTGGGTTCTTCAGTCCCTGTTCTGGAGAAGACGTTAGCTCAGCTCTGGGGGCTGCTGAGAAGCCACCCTGCCTGGCCTGGGGCTTCCCTGCCCCTGCCCCTTCCTGTCCCAGATGGGTAGCAAAAGGCTAGCCTGGCTCCTCTCACTTACCTGCTGGCTGGGCCTTGGGGAAATGATGTGGATGCACACCTCGGGGGCCTGGCTGGCCCTTCTCTCTAAACCTCACTTTTCCAAAATACCCAGGCCTTATATCATAAGGATTAAAGCAGGTAAGCACACAGGGGCCCTGAGTCATGCAGAGAACAGCTGGGGCCTGGTGTTTGAGTGAGGTGACATCAGGACCTGGTCAAAGAGGGACTTGGCCTCAGGACACCTTGACCAGAGGTCAGGGAGGGGCAAGAGACTGCCTGGGGCAGTGGGCAGGGGCACCCAAGGCCCCCAATACCTACCCTAGCAGGCACCTGAGGCAGAGGAGCACAGGGTCTGAATGTGACCCTGATCAGCCTGCAGGGTGAGGAAGGCCAGTACTCAGTGTGTCAAGAGGTCCCCATAGGATAGCAAAGCAGCAGTGGCCCAGGATAGAAAGGAGGTGCAAACAGGGTGTCCCAGAGCATGGAGCCCAAGACCCAGTGGGCTCTTCCCATCCTGGACCGGACTTCATGGCCACACATGGGCCCAGGCAGCTTGGGGCTGGTGACTGCTGCTAACCACTGTGAAGATTGGCCCCCTGTCCAGTGCTCATCCTGGCCACACTCAACACATCCCAGGGCCTCTAGGTCTTTCCCTGGGTGGAGAGCTAGATTCACAGAGTCAGACTGCATGTCAGCCTTAAGCTGGCTCATGTGTGACAGCCCAGTGGAGGCATCCAGTTGTGGGAAAGTTAAAAAACTCCCTTCCAGCTGGTTCTGAACTACATGTTCCCTTGGATTGACTGACTGATTGGTTGGTTGATTGCTCTTTAACACTGGGGGTTGAAGCCAGGGTCTTCATCCTCCAGATGAAGGGATGAGTGGTATCCCCAGCCATTTTGCCTTTTATTTTTTATCTTGAGATAGGATCTCTCCCAAATCCTAGGTTGCCCAGGCTAGGCTGGGACTTGCTGTCTTCCTGGGTCAGCCACCTTTTTTCAGGCCACGCAGAGGCAGCAAGCAGGGCAGTTTCAGAACCAGAGGTCTGAGTGTCCAGGAGAGGCATGGGGCACCTGTGCGCCTCATATCCATACAGATGGGCTATGCCCAGCCTGGGACAGGATCCTGACAGAGCGGCCACCTTCGAGCAGTAGCTCCCACAAAAAAAGCCAAGGCAAGGGGTTCAGGTCCCAGAGCCATCTGCCCTAAGACCCCAGCTCTGTGTACCATGACCACCCCCTTCTGCATTCCTGACAGTGCCCTGACTTCTTTTGCAGAGTCCCCAGCACCACCAGCAGCCCACGGCCATCAGGAAGCTGACAGGAGGCCTAGTAGGCTACCATTCAGGGAGGCCTTGGCCATTGAGGGAACGAAGATGGCAGCACAGTCAAGGACGAGGCCCACCAGATCCTATACCTCTCATCCTGCAAGTCCTAAAAGCTGCCAGCTGCGCCCCCGGATCCGCAACTACAACATGAAGGACTGACTTCTTTGGCCCCAGTGCAGCAGACTCACAAGGGCCAGGCCTTGGGGCCCTGTTCCTCCCTCCATATCAAGGGTGGGTGTGCACGTGTCATGCAGGGGATGCTGAGAGCTGCAAGGTAGGCTCCAGGTGCCGCTGAGACAGCCTCCCCAGAGGACCACGGAGTCATTAAAACCTCTGCCACATCTGCGGACCAAGTTGTCTATTTGTCCTACTTGGAAATGCCATGTCAGGTCTGCATGCCAGATTTTGGCTTGGCCTCTGCTACCTGCTTGTCACTGCCCACATACCTGCACCCATACCTGACAGTGGCCCTCCCCTGAGACTGGCGGCTTGGCGAGCAGAATACCCACCTGTGAAGTATGTCCCAGACAGTGCCTTATGAGGGACCCCACTGAGAATCATACCCCTAGGTGGTTCTGGCCCTGCCTTTGGCATGCTGGGGTGTTCACTGAGTGCTGGAGGATGGAAAGTGAGTCACCTCACTGCCTTCCATACTCATCCCCCACAAAGGACAACAGTAAAGCACTTAGCCACCTGGGTGCCCAGGGCAGGAATGAAATACACAGGCATACGTCACTTCAAGTGCCCCAAGAGCATACCCACACTGACCTACTAGACAGCTGCATCATGAGGCTGACCCTACCCCATTCTACAGTCCCACAGCTATGCTCCAAGGCCATAAGGACACTGTCTTGTGGGCTTGTCCTACATGTGCTCACCCAGAGCCCTTGCTTAGCCTTTTTTTCCCCAACATCTGAATCACAGCAGAGGCCAGGAAAGGTTTTGATCTCGCCCTCACTGCAAGCCCTCACTGCAAGCCCTCCCTCCCACAGCATTTCCCCTTTCTGAACCCAACAGACAACTAACTGTTCTGGGAGGACCATGAGGTGGGGGCTGCCCCCCCCCACCCTAACTTGCAATCCAGGTAAAATATGGGTGCCAACATCTGCCTGCTGGCTCACAAGTGTGTGAGCCTGACAAATGTCACAGGGAAACCCCACACCAGCAGCAGGGGCCCTGATGCAGGCTGAGAAATTACAGGTCCAGGTCTCATTGCTTTGTAAATCTCTCTTGCAACACCTTGGGTTTCTACAATTGGCTTCATCCATTTATTCCAGGTGCACAGACAAAGGGTTACCACCATGTCTTTAACATGCTCCACCTGGGCACACAAGGACACTGGCAGGCCTTCCTGATGCTCCTGGAAGCAAACTGCTGCATTCTTAGATGCTTTGGAGGGGAAGGTACCCTTGCTGTTCTTTAAGGCATGTGTTCCTGAAGAGAGGCCTGGACCTGTGACCTACTGAGGCTGAAAAAAGCACATTAAAGCTCCCCTTCAGAATCTCAAATTGAGCCCCAAGCTGCCATCCTCTAGACAGGTTCAGATTCTGGGTTCAGCCCATTACCTGCGCCCAAGGGTGCAGGGGACAGAACCCCATTGACCACCAACCGCCCACCAGTAGCACTGCCTTGAGAACTGGAACACTTGTCAAATCCAAAGAGACCCAAAGGGGTCAGCCAGCCAGGCTTGGAAAGGCCCTGGGACACTGGGTGGTTGGAGCAGGAAATACAGACAACCAAGACAGCTGTGCCTCCAAGTCTGCTGGCTTCCAGGTCTGCTGGCTTCTCGAGAAAAGACTCTTCCTAAGTGAGTTGGGCCTGCAGGTAGGAGGCCAAGGACCTGAGGACCACCTTCCGGGACTCTCAGGTGAGCCCCGATACTGGGGCCCATTTGGTTCTTTCGGTTGCCAGTTGTATTTTGGGTTTCTTTTCCTCGAAAGTTCAGCGACCCTTAGAGCAGAGGAATTATGAGAGAGGAAGAGAGAAAGGACGCTGGAAGCTCTGGGCCTCTGTAGGAGGCAGCAGTGGCTTCTTTGTTCTCTGCACCCTGGCCTGGAGTCCGGCGCACCGCTGCGCTCTGGGATGCGTTATACGCATCCCCCATTCCCCGGGTGGCCGCACCCAGGAGCACCGGCAGCCGCACAGCGATGACCGGTAGTAACCCGGCACTCGGCGCCCTCAGCCAGGGTCAACGACCGCGCTCTCCCGCGGCCTGCTCAGCGACGAGCAACCAGCAGCCGGCCATCACCCTATCGCCTAGCAACGCCCACTCGAGCGCCGCCATTGGCCCAATGTGTAGAACCCCGAAGACCGATTGGCCACGGCGGCGAAGCAAGCCACGCCTCCAGCTCTGCGCGCGCGCCGCGGTGGCCGAGCGAGTGCGGGGACGCGGGCTCGTACCCGAGGCTGCCTCCCGTGTTGTCCCTCGTGTGACCCCAAACGGTCCCTGCACAGTCCCCAGTGTAGCCCAAGCACGCCCATCTCGCACCGCAGGCGCGCAGAGCCCACGTGGCCCGCAAACGCGGGCAGTTCGGAGCCGCTCCGGCTCGCGCGGGAGCGGAAGCGGACGCGGACGGGGGGCGGCGCGCGCGGGCATCACCCCACGGCGGCGGCGCGCCGGGTCCTGGGGCGCAGCCCCGACGCTCATTGGCCTGGGCGGCGCAGCCAAGCTGTCAGCCCATGTGGCGTGGCCGCGCGGGGATGGCCGCGGTTTAAATAGCGCCAGCGCGGCCTAGAGGGAGCCAGAGAGACGCAGCGGCGCCCCTCGCTCCTCCATCAGCGTTCCGTGCTCTTCACCGCCAGCCGCTTGGTCCAGGTACGCGGCCCCGCGGAGCCCTGGGGCGGCCCGGGCCGAAGCGCACCGACAAGGGCTTTCTCGGGCACGGCGGGTGGGCGCCAACCACCGGCCCCGCGCCCACAAAGGCTGCCCGCTCCGCCGCCTGCCCAGCCGGGATTGGGGCCCAGAGGGAGGCCCCGGCACGTGGGCGCCGGGCCGCGGGGGGGGGGCGGACGCCGCGCCGCGACTCTGCGCTGGGCCGCGTGGATGCAAGCGGGATTCGGGGACATCCGGGGCCTTCCTTGAACAGGGGCTGCGCTGTGGGTCGCTTGCGCTGGTTGGGGAGGACCAGGGCGCGGCGCTGGGCGCGCACGAGGTCCTGCGCTCAGCGGAAATGGCTGGGCCTGCCCGGCCTTGCCCCTCGTCCTGGGGCGGCTCCGGAGCCTACAAGCAGCATCGTGGCCACGCGGCCCGAGCTCTCTGGGCCGGTTCAGGGCTCCTGGGCAGGTGCCTCGGGGACTGTCCCGGAGTCTGCCGCCGCCTCAGCCTGGGCACGACCTCACCTGCGCGCCTTTGGCAGGCCTGGTTCCCCAGGTTGCTGGAAGAGTCTTACCGGCCAGGGCCACCTTTTACCTACCCCTGCCAGGATTTGGCACCCATACTGCTCAGGCCTGTCGCCTGGATCCCTTCCCGCCCCAGCGTCTGGGTCCGCCTGAGTGGGAGCGGCCTCCACACCCAGCACAGAGGGCAGCACAGCCCCTCAGTGGCCTGAGGTGGCGCCTCTGCTCCCACGCTATGCTAGGACCAGAGGGTCTCTGGGCCCTACCAGCTCCTTAGAGGTCCCCTCCATTCTGTGCCTGGGCTGCAGCGCCCAGCAGCAAGTTACTGCAGGGCAGCCAGCCCTGTGGGGACACCTCTGCGCAAGGCCTCAGAGATGCCAGGCCAGTGCTAAGGCCCCCACTAAGGGGGGGGGTGATATCTGGAGCTCCTGGCTTCCAGTCTACTGTCAGGGAGCCTCCACAAGTCAGCTTGGGGCCTGTCCTGGGCCTGCAGCCAGCCCCTGAACACCCCAATTATTGTGCTGGACATATGAGGGTGACCACGTTGTGGGTGCTGAGACTGTGCACAGGGTGTGCTGGGGTAGTTGTGACCACTCGTGGGGCCTGTGCTCCTCCCTGCAGAGAGGAGCCATGGAGGAGGTAGTGATCGCTGGTATGTCCGGGAAGCTGCCCGAGTCAGAGAACTTGCATGAGTTCTGGGCCAACCTCATTGGTGGTGTGGACATGGTCACGGATGATGACCGGCGATGGAAGGCAGGTGAGTGCCACAGAGGGTATGAGAGTCAACTTTGCCCTTTCCCTTGCTGAGGTCCTGTAGCCAAGCACCGTTCTGCCTGTGCCCAGAGCCGGCAGGGTACCAGGTGCTCAGGCTGGATCCACTCTTGTCTCGATCCATAGAGCAGCTCTACTTGCTAGACAGGTGTGAGTCAGCATGGTGGGCCCAGCCAGCCTCTGGTCCCTCAGAGGGTATTGTGTCTGGGTTCTGGGTTTTGGCAGGGGGTCCTTCTTGGAAATCAAGTTAGAGTCACCAGTTCTATGTGAGGGCCACTATCTACCCCTCCCAGGGAGCCTCCTGGATTTTACCCTACTGCAGGAGCCTGTGATGTCCATGGGCACCTGTCAGGAGGAGGACACCTCCCTTATCCCACAGGACTCTATGGCCTGCCACGGCGGTGTGGCAAGCTGAAGGACCTATCCAAGTTCGACGCCTCCTTCTTCGGGGTCCACCCCAAGCAGGCCCAAACAATGGATCCCCAGATCCGGCTGCTGTTGGAAGTTGCCTATGAGGCCATTGTGGATGCAGGTGGGTTGTAGTGGAGCTGCTGGTCATAGCAGTTCGTTTCCAGGGTCTCAGTGACAGGGCAGGGACCAGCCTGGTGGCAAAGCTCTTGCCTGGTGTGTTTGAGGCCCCTTGGTTCCATTCCCTGTGTTGCAAAAGAAAGCAAACTGTGCGGTATCTGCAATATTTTTTTTAGGCTTAAAAGGCCTCGCAAGTGGCGTGTGGCCTGGCCCTGCCTCCCTGATCTTGTCTTCATTCTGGCCTGACTTGGGGCCAGTGGCTCAGGAGACAGGGGCTCCTGGCAGTCAGTTTCACAACTGCACACTGGCGCTGTCCCAGGCATGCCCTGGTGCCCCAGTTTCCTCACTCACCATGTTTGGTCTTGGGGTGAGGGCAGGACTGACAGTGGTTAGGGCAGGGTGGCTCAGCTTCTGCTGCCCACACTGGCTGCTGTATGTCCACCCTCCGCTCTAGGCCTCAGGGTGGCTGTGATCTGGATCCCTGCTCGGAGGGTGCTGAAGTACTGCCCACATACCTCCTCCACTTTTGTTCCTGATAACTCTGCCCCTCCACCACCCTGCATCTCCCCAGCCTCTAATCGGTAGACATTGGCCATTAGGGCTGGTACACCTACCCTGAGGTCCAATGCCATCCTGGTGGGGCGAAACTGAGATGCCTCCACGGTGGTAGAGCAGGCCTTTGCCTCAGGCTTTTCCTGCTGCCCAGGCTCCACCCAGAGGCCTTGGGCATAACTCCCAAGGGGCTGTCCACTGACATCTCTTTTCCTAGCCTAGACACTCAGTCTTTGTCTCCTTGTGTCTGCTTATCTGGGCCTGTGCCGGGGCAGGCTGCCCTTGGAGCTGGGGTTCTCATTGGCCAGCAGGCTTGTCAGATCCGCTAGTGACACCGAGGACCAAGGGATTTGTTTGGGGACAATGGTGTGCTCTGTCATTCCTCTGGCCACCAACTGACCTGGACCTTGTAGACCTGGTTGATCCCTGATGCCCCAGCTCCTCTGTCCTGGTTCTTAACTTTGTAGCCCTATCTGGACTGGCTGTTCCAAGCACCCCACCCCAATGCCCCAATGCCCTAATAGACCCCCACACACACACTGAGGCTGAGGCCTCCACCTGTGGGGCCATGTGGGAATGTTGGTTCTGACTACTGCTCCCACAGGTATCAACCCATCCTCGCTTCGAGGGACGAACACTGGTGTCTGGGTGGGTGTGAGTGGCTCAGAGGCTTCGGAGGCCCTGAGCCGAGACCCAGAGACACTTGTGGGCTACAGCATGGTGGGCTGCCAGCGTGCAATGATGGCCAACCGCATTTCCTTCTTCTTTGACTTCAAAGGTGAGTTTTTTGCTCAGTCCTCTGGGAACCAGGGTGTCTGAGCCTGGCCCTGGGTCTTGAAGGCAAAATAGCAAAGACCCTGGGAGTGTAGACCTGCCCTTCATGCACATGTCTGACCCACTAGGATCAGGGCAGGGCCAGTGAGGTACTCGGGGCCTGGCACACGCACTCCTTCTTATGCCCCTTCCCGACACAGGGCCCAGCATCGCCCTGGACACAGCCTGCTCCTCCAGCCTGATGGCACTGCACAATGCCTACCAGGCCATCCGCAGCGGAGAGTGCCCCGCTGCCATTGTGGGTGGCATCAACACGTTGCTCAAGCCCAATACCTCGGTGCAGTTCATGAAGCTAGGCATGCTTAGCCCGGACGGCATGTGCAAGTCCTTCGATCAGACAGGTGAGGGCAGCAGGAAGCCTGAGCAAGGCTCCCTCCCCACTGCCTGCCTGCTGCAGCTCCATCTGGCACCCCCTCCCCAGAGCAGGCAGCGTCTTTGCAGTGCTGCACAGGGCACCCCACCCAGCGCCCGTGCTCCTGGGTGGGCTGACCCCCACTGAGGGTCAGCCCACTGAGGTGCACTCTGATCCAGGGAATGGATACTGCCGGTCGGAGGCTGTGGTGGCCGTTTTGCTGACCAAGAAGTCCCTGGCCCGGCGGGTATATGCCACTGTTCTGAATACTGGCACCAACACAGATGGCTCCAAGGAACAAGGTGGGCATGGCAGGGTGGCACCAGGCTGCCACAGATGGGGTTGAGGGGGCTCTGAGGCCTAATATACCCCCAACCCTGCAGGCGTGACCTTCCCTTCTGGAGAAGCCCAGAAGCAGCTCATTCGCTCCCTGTACCTGCCAGCTGGACCAGCACCAGAGTCCCTTGAGTACATTGAAGCCCATGGCACAGGCACCAAGGTGAAGCCCTGTGCCCCTCACCCCATCCATACTGAAAAGGCCCCTGGCTGGAGCCCTGACTCCATATCCCCTGCAGGTAGGCGACCCCCAGGAGTTAAACAGCATCGCTCAGGTCCTCTGTGCCTCCCGCCAGGACCCACTGCTCATTGGGTCCACCAAGTCCAACATGGGGCACCCAGAGCCTGCCTCGGGGCTTGCAGCTCTGACCAAGGTAAGTGGACAGCTCTATAGAGTGGCCACCACACACCTGTCTTGCCTGGCAAAGTCCAGGTTTGCCAGCAGGAGCCCCTGTGCTATGTCTGCCAGATGTCCTGCTGAGCTGAGCTGCTCTTGGGCCCAGCCAGAGAGGGGTTCAGACAGGGGTCCCAGAGATAGGGAAGCAGCTGGACAGACACGTGGGCACTTGGTTCATCAGTGGAGATTCTGGTGTCAGGGCAGACCAGTGTCCATTTTGGGCCCCCCCTCCACGTACACATCCCTACTTCCAGACTGGTTAACTGGCCTTCATGGGGGCTGGTTACAGTGCCCTGGAGGACTAAACATCCTTGGACTTGGGGCCTGTTTCCAAACCTGCAACCCTTCTCAGGTGTCCACACAGCTGGGAAGTGACAGGGATCCTAGGGAGCCAAAAGGCCCAGCAGGGAGGGTCTGTGCCCAGCACCCCAGTGCCTGGTGCTAGGCTGAAGCAACTGTAGGACCTCTGGTGGCAGGCATATCTGGGGGTGGCTGAGTCCTATGGGGTCAGCTGCCCACCAGCATGTACTCTGGCTGCAGGTTCTTCTGTGCCTGGAGCATGGGGTCTGGGCCCCTAACCTACACTTCCACACCCCCAACTCTGAGATCCCAGCCCTGACTGACGGGCGGCTGCAGGTGGTAGACCGGCCCCTGCCTGTTCGTGGTGGCAATGTGAGCATCAACTCCTTCGGCTTCGGAGGCGCCAATGTGCATGTCATCCTCCAGCCCAACACAAAGCTGGCCCCTGTGCCTGCCCCCCATGCTGCCCTGCCTCGCCTGCTGCAGGCCAGTGGGCGGACCCTAGAGGCTGTGCAGAGCCTGCTGGAGCAGGGTCGCCAGCACAGCCAGGACCTAGCCTTCGTGAGCATGCTCAATGACATTGCGGCCACCTCACCAACAGCCATGCCCTTCAGGGGTTATGCAGTGCTGGGCGTGGAGGGTGGTGGCCAGGAAGTGCAGCAGGTGCCTTCAGGCAAGCACCCACTCTGGTTCATTTGCTCAGGTAAGTCCACCCCCATGTCCTCCGTGGTTCCTTGGAGTCCCACCCCTCTATTGGAAGGGTGAGGAACTAGTTGACACTGGCCAAACCACTGACTCTCTCTGGCACAGGTATGGGTACACAGTGGTGCGGGATGGGAGTGAGCCTCATGCGTCTGGATGGCTTCCGGGACTCCATCTTGCGATCTGATGAGGCCCTGAAACCAGTTGGACTGAAGGTGTCCAAACTGCTGCTGAGCACAGAGGAAAACACCTTTGATGATGTTGTCCATGCCCTTGTGAGCCTCACGGCCATCCAGGTGGGCACTTGCCTGATGCTAAGCCCTAGGGCACTTCTGGGCTACATCGGTCCTGGTCTGTCCAGCTCATGGGCATGGGGCCTGGAAGAGGGGAGGGCTTCTCAATGCTAGCAGAGGACTGCATAGAGGCTGCATGGTGGCAGGTGGCCTGGGAGACCAGGAGAGCTAGCAAGGTGTCCTGTCTCTGTCCACAGATTGCTCTCCTAGACCTGCTAACCTCAATGGGCCTTAGACCTGATGGAATCATCGGGCACTCCCTGGGGGAAGTGGCCTGTGCCTATGCTGATGGCTGTGTCTCCCAGGAGGAGGCTGTGCTTGCAGCCTACTGGAGAGGCCAGTGTGTCAAGGAGGCCAGCCTCCCATCAGGAACTATGGCTGCCGTGGGTAAGCATCTCTCTGTGCCTCTCCTCCACAGACCCCTGGAACGAGGCTGCTTTCCTGCCTCCTCCAAAAGGGCATGGGTGGTGCAGACGCTCTCGCCTGGGCCAGTAGGCTTTCTGCTGGTCCACTTGGGGCACACTGGCGGGCCTCAGTTTGTTCCTCTGTCACCCACCTGTGAGGCCCCAGGGCTCAGCCATCAGAGCAGGGTGGTGAGGCCCAGGCCCTGTGGTTTCTGTGGAATCGCCGTCAAGGACTGGCCTTAGGTATCACCCCTATAATGACACCTCTGCTGGGAAGCCAGTGAGGCAGAGGTGAACATTTCTTGAGAAGCCCCTTAGAGGCTGTCATTAGGCCCTCTGTCATTAAGACCAGCGCCCCTGGCTCCAGGCTGTGCCCATGACTGCTCTCCACAGAAAGAGCAGTGTGTTGGGCCCAGGCTGCCCTCTGAGACCAGCTCTGCTTGCAGGTTTATCCTGGGAGGAGTGTAAGCAGCGCTGCCCCCCTGGCATTGTGCCCGCCTGCCACAACTCTGAGGACACAGTGACCATCTCAGGACCTCAGGTGGGCCTGCAGTCAGCAGGGATGACTGGCCTTGCGAGGCCTTGGCCTGTACCTGTCAGCTTCTGAGGGGCCCGGCCTGAGTTGTGTTTGTCCCCAGACCCCTCCCTGCCCTTAGGTGGGCTCCTCTCCATGACCTCAGCTCAGTGGACAGAACTGGGTGTGTGCCCAACCAGGAGAGCTAGGCCAGGGCCCCTCTAAACCTTTCCTGATTCCCCAGGCTGCCGTGAGCAAGTTCGTAGAGCAGCTTAAGCAGGAGGGAGTGTTTGCCAAGGAGGTACAGACAGGCGGCATAGCCTTCCACTCCTACTTCATGGAGGCCATTGCGCCCGCACTACTGCAGGCTCTCAAGAAGGTGGGTGCCCATGGTGTGCACAGGGTCCCAAGGGAGCCGAGGACCTGCAACTTCGGTGCTGACTCTGCTTCTGTGCGCAGGTGATCCAGGCCCCAAGGCCGCGCTCTGCCCGCTGGCTCAGCACATCCATTCCTGAGGCTCAGTGGCAGGGTAGCTTGGCCCGTACCTTCTCCGCCGAGTACAATGTCAACAACCTGGTGAGCCCGGTGCTGTTCCAGGAAGCTCTGCGCCATATCCCCGAGCACGCTGTGGTGGTGGAGATCGCGCCCCACGCCCTGCTGCAGGTGCGCACTGGGCCATGGGTGGGCAGCACCGGTGGGCAGCAGCAAGGAAGAGATCAGAGGGAGCCTACCAACCTCTGTCCGCCTACAGGCTGTTCTCAAACGGGGCCTGAAGCCCAGCTGCACCATTGTGCCCCTAATGCGGAGGGACCACAAGAACAACCTGGAGTTCTTCCTTACCAACATTGGCAAGCTCCACCTCGTAGGGTGAGTTCTGCCCGCGCTGAGCCCCGGAGTTGCAGTGGTGTGGGTCAATGGCCTCTGGGAACCAGGCAGCTGAACTGAGTACCTTGGTGGTACCCTGGCTGTGGGCCTCCCTGCCCTTTGCCTCTGGACTCTGCCCCCAGGCCAGATGCTGCTGTTATTCACCCCTCTCTGTCCCCACTCCAGCATCAACGCCAACCCCAACGCCTTACTCCCACCTGTGGAGTTCCCAGCACCCCGAGGAACACCCCTTATCTCCCCTCACATCAAGTGGGACCACAGCCAGACCTGGGATGTGCCGGCCGCAGAGCACTTCCCGAATGGCTCAGGCTCTTCCTCTGCCACCGTCTACAACATCGGTGAGGGCCTGGAGGTGGGCAGACCCTCCTTGCTGGACGTGGGGGCCAGGCACTGAGGCTTGCTTCTGCCTGCAGATGCTGGTCCCGAGTCCCCTGACCACTACCTGTTGGACCACTGCATCGATGGCCGTGTACTCTTCCCAGCCACTGGCTACCTGTACCTTGTCTGGAAGACATTAGCTCGAAACCTTAGCCTGCCCTTAGAGCAGACACCTGTGGTGTTTGAGGGGGTGACAGTGCACCAGGCCACCATCCTGCCCAGGACAGGTGAGGGCGCCGGCGGGTAGGGGCAGCTGGAGGGGCCACAGCCAGGCTCTGACCCTGTTGCCCCACAGGGACTGTGCCCCTGGAGGTACGGCTGCTGAAGGCTGCCCACGCTTTTGAAGTCTCTCACAATGGCAACCTGGTAGTGAGCGGTGAGCAGAGCTGCCCATCGGGGGCTGGGGGCTGAACAGGCAGCCAGCCTACCCTGTGCTCAGGCCCTCCTGCCACCCCTACCCACAGGGAAGGCATACCAGTGGGAGGACCCCGACCCCAAGCTCTTCAACCACTCAGAAGACCCAGGTCCCATGGAGCCGGAGCCCACTTCCCACCTGTCCCTGGCGGATGTGTACAAGGAGCTGCGGCTGCGTGGCTATGAATATGGCCCCCACTTCCAGGGTGTCTTGCAGGCCAGCTTCAGAGGTAGGCATGCACACTCTGCCAGTGTTGAGTAGCTGCAGGGACCAGACCCTCACAGCTGTGTCTGGCAATGTGAGGCAGAGGGGAGAGTCCAGGGCTTTGACCAAGGTCTTCCCTCAGGTAAACAGGGAAAGCTGCTCTGGAAAGACAACTGGGTGACTTTCCTGGATGCCATGCTACAGATTACCATCCTCAGCATGAATCAGCGCAGCCTGTACCTGCCCACCCGCATCACTGACATGCGCATTGACCCCACCGTCCACCTGCAGAAGGTGTACACACTGCAGGATGAGACCCAAGGTAGTCCTGCCATGCCCCCGGCCCGCATGCCCACGTCCTGCCTGGTGCTGCCCTCGCTCACCAGCCTGTCCCCACAGTGGTTGATGTGGTGAGCTCCGCTGTGAACAGAATAGTGGCCGGTGGTGTCTACATCCTGCAGCTCCATACAACATCAGCCCCACGGCGGCAGCAGGAGAGCATGGTGCCCACCCTGGAGAAGTTTTGCTTCACACCCCACCTGGAAGCAGGGTGCCTGTCTCAGAGTGAGACCCTTCAGGGGGAGCTGCAGCTGTGCAAGGGTGAGCCAGGGGTCCAGGCCTCTTGAGAGGCCAGTGCCAAGCTGCCTTGCAACTCTCTCTACAGCCCCTTTCCATGCAGACACCACACCTGTCTTTCTTCCCACCCCTTGGTCTTCATGGCCATTAACTATTCCAATTTCAGCTAAGGGGTTCAAGGCCCCATCTAGTTTGTGGGGTTGGGGGTAATCAGCCCTGCCACCTGCCCTCAGCCAGTCCCTGTTCCTTCCCTCCAGCTGCTGCCTTGTCCTCTGGGTCCTGGGCAGTGGCCAGGCAACTCAGGTAGTCTGTCTCTCCTGCATAGGGCTGGCACAGGCACTGCAGACCAAGGCAGCCCAGCAGGGGCCCCAGATGGTGGTGCCTGAGCTGGATGAGACCCAGACACAGCAGGGACTGCCCCGACTGCTGGCAGCTGCCTGTCAGCTGCAGCTCAATGGGAACCTGCAGCAGGCACTGGCCCAGGAGAGAGCTCTGCTGCCTGAGGACCCCCTCCTCAGTGGCCTCCTCAACTCCCCTGCGCTCAAGGCCTGCTTGGACACAGCTCTGGAGAACCTGCCTAGCATGAAGATGAAGGTGGTAGAGGTGGGTGCCAGGCAGAGCCTCAGGACCTAGGGAGGGTGCACTCCCAATCTCTGGGCCGCTGTGTATCTCTCCTAGAGGCTATGGGAAAACCCACCCAGCAGCCAGGCAGGAGAAGGTTTGCAGGAGGGGTAGGCTGGGGAGGGGCCCTGGCTGCATGTCCAGTCCATGCAGCTGTCCCTGGAGGCTCTGGGGTCTGGAACCACAGGTGGACTGTGGAGTGGGTGACCACCCTGCCCTAGGGACAGCCCCAGCTGCAGATTCTTGCCCACTGCCTGCTCCTCTGCTGCAGGTGCTTGCTGGTGACGGTCACCTGTATTCACGCATCCCAGCCCTGCTCACCACCCACCCCATGCTGCAGCTGGACTACACCGCCACAGACCGCCACCCCCAGGCCCTGGAGGCCATCCAGGGCAGGCTACACGAGCATGAGGTTGCCCAGGGCCAGTGGGACCCTGCGGACCCTGCCCCCAGCAGTCTGGGTGCAGCAGATCTGCTGGTGTGCAATGGTGCTGTGGCCACCCTGGGGGACCCAGCTCTGGCCCTGGCTAACATGACAGCTGCCCTCAAGGAGGGCGGCTTCCTGCTGCTGCACACCGTGCTCAGAGGGCACACCCTCGGGGAGACCCTGGCCTTCCTCACCTCAGAGCTGCAGAGTGGGCCCAGCCTCCTGAGCCAGGTGCCACTGCTGGGAGTGGGACTGGGGGTGGGGCTGGCAGGGGCCGAGTTGGCAGACACTGATGTCCTGCCACTCCTAGGATGAATGGGAGAGTCTGTTCTCAAAGGCAGCGCTGCACTTAGTGGGCCAGAAGACCTCATTCTATGGCTCTGCCATCTTCCTGTGCCGCCGGCCCGCCCCACAGGACAACCCCATCTTCCTGCCTGTGGAGGACACCAGCTTCCAATGGGTGGACTCTCTGAAGGTCTGGCCGGGGTACTAGCTCTCCTGCCCTACCTCATACAGCCTGGAGCCTTGGCAGCAGTTGACCCCCCACCCCCTCCTTGCCCTGCAGGATATTCTGGCTGAGATGTCCCCCCGCCCCGTGTGGCTGACAGCCCTGGGCTGCCCCACCTCAGGCGTGGTAGGCATGGTGAACTGTCTCCGCAAAGAGCCTGGTGGGCACCGGATCCGGTAGGTGGGCTGCCCACTGAGCTGTGCCATTTCCTGTCTCCTACGCCTAGCTGCTTCTAGTCCTCACCACCTCTGGCTTCTTGCAGGTGCATCCTGCTTTCCAACCTCAGCAGCACGTCTCATGTCCCCAAGATGGACCCTGGCTCCGCAGAGCTGCAGAAGGTGCTGGAGGGAGATCTGGTGATGAATGTGTACCGTGATGGGGTCTGGGGTGCCTTCCGCTTTTCCTTCCTGGACCAAGGTGAGCCCACAGCACTGACTGTCCTTGCCAGGCCGAGGTGGGTGGGAACCCTAGCCAGCTGGACCCTGTGGCAGCCCTGCTTCTGTTCCTGCAGACAGACCCCAAGAGCAGACGGCACACGCCTTTGTGAACATCCTCACTCGTGGGGACCTCTCCTCCATCCGCTGGGTCTGCTCCCCGCTGAAATATGCCCGGCCCACCAGCCCAGAAACGCAGCTCTGCACTGTGTACTATGCCTCACTCAACTTCCGGGACATCATGCTGGCCACGGGCAAACTGTCCCCTGATGCCATCCCAGGTGCCAGCCAAGATGAGGCCTTCGGGGGCAGGGCAGGACCACAGCAGCCCCTCCTAAGAAAGGAAGGGAAGTGTGGCGCCACCAGCAGGCTCACTTTTATCTGCTCCCAGGGAAATCGATTAACCGGGACTGCTTGCTGGGCATGGAGTTCTCAGGTCGAGACGCCCTAGGCCGGCGTGTGATGGGGCTGGTGCCCTCTGAAGGTCTGGCCACCTCTATCCTGGTGTCATCAGCCTTCCTCTGGGAAGTGCCCTCCAGTTGGTGAGTGAGCTGGGCTGCAGGTAAAAGAGTCTGCAGGCTGTTGTTTGGTGACCAGGCCTGGTGACCCTGCGCTGTGTCCTCAGGACGCTGGAGGAGGCAGCTTCTGTGCCCGTGGTCTATAGCACTGCCTACTATGCACTCGTGGCCCGGGGGCGCATAAAGCCTGGAGAGACCGTGCTCATTCACTCAGGCTCAGGTGGGGTGGGCCAGGCCGCCATCACCATCGCGCTCAGCCTGGGCTGCCGTGTCTTCACCACCGTCGGTAAGGCCCCATCCCACCCTGCATGCCCCGGCCCTGGTGCCCACCTGGCCCACAGCCCACCCGGCACCTTGCCCTGCAGGCTCGGCTGAGAAGCGGGTCTACCTCCGGGCCAGGTTCCCCCAGCTTGATGACACCAGCTTCGCCAACTCCAGGGACACATCTTTTGAACAGCATGTGATGCTGCACACAGGCGGGAGGGGTGAGTGCTACCCAAGCTCCGCATCCCTGGAGGCCTGGCTGACTGGGTGAGGGCCCTGGGGGAGCCGAAGTGTGACCCTGAGGCCCTGTCTCTCGGCCTAGGTGTTGACTTGGTCCTAAATTCCCTGGCGGAAGAGAAGCTGCAGGCTAGCGTGAGGTGCCTGGCTCAGCATGGCCGCTTCCTTGAAATCGGCAAATTTGACCTTTCCAACAACCACCCGCTTGGTGAGGCAGGCAGCGCCTGGGGTGAGCAATAGAAGGCAGGCGCCAGGCTTCGGCAGCCGCCCTGATAAATTTGGCACCCCACCTAGGCATGGCCATCTTCCTGAAGAATGTCACTTTCCACGGGATCCTGTTGGACGCGCTCATGGAAAAAAACAGCCCCCAGTGGAACGAGGTGTCGGCCCTCCTGCAGGCTGGTATCCGTGATGGTGTGGTGCAGCCCCTCAAGTGCACCGTGTTCCCCAAGGCTAAGGTGGAAGACGCCTTCCGCTACATGGCCCAGGGGAAGCACATTGGCAAAGTCCTTGTTCAGGTAGGGGAGCACCCGGGCGCCCTGGCTCCAACTGCATGGTGGCACTGGCCCTCCCAGGGCACCTGAGTGGCTCCTGCTTGGCCACAGGTCCACGAGGAAGAGCAAGAATCCAGGCTGCAGGGAGCACAGCCCACCCCCATGGTTGCCATCTCCAAGACTTTCTTTCCATCTCACAAGACCTACGTCATCACGGGAGGTCTGGGCGGCTTCGGCCTTGAGCTGGCTGAGTGGCTGCTTCAGCGAGGGGCCCAGAAGCTTGTGTTGACCTCTCGCTCTGGAATCCGCACAGGTGGGCAGGCAAGGGCATGAGGGGACTAACATGGGTGAGGGACAGTGTCCACATTCCTGGGGGCAGCTCCCCTCTCACTTCCCTTCCTAGCCCCAAATCCCATGTCCCATAGGCTACCAGAACAAGCAGGTCACTGAGTGGAGGAGCCAGGGCATCCAGGTACTAGTGTCCACTCGAGACGCCAGCTCACTGGAGGGAGCGCGTGCCCTCATTGCTGAGGCCTCACAGCTTGGGCCAATCGGAGGCATCTTTAACCTGGCTGTGGTAAGGGACAGATCCTTGTGCCAGTGCCTTCCAAAACCAAGATCAGGATGGCAATAGCAGGGTGGATGGAGCCCTGCAGGTACTGATGAGGCCTCTCCCCAGGTCCTGAGGGATGCCATACTGGAGAACCAGACCCCAGAGCAGTTCCAGGATGTGAACAGACCCAAGTACAGCGGCACCCTAAACCTGGACAGGTAGGTGGGGCCCCAGGCTACACATCAGGAGCCTTCTCTGGCCCGTCCATCCCAGGGAAGGTGTGAGGAGGAGGGGATCCTGGTCATGACAGCTGGCAGAGAGTGACAAGAACACCTACAGGGTGACCCGGGAAGCCTGTCCTGAGCTGGACTACTTCGTGGCCTTCTCATCAGTGAGCTGTGGGCGTGGCAACATGGGCCAGAGCAACTATGGCTTTGCCAACTCCACCATGGAGCGCATCTGTGAGCAGCGCCGTCACGATGGCCTCCCAGGTAGGCCTTGCCGCCTCCACCACCACCCCACCCCATCTGTGCTACCCTATACCCACAGCCCTTACTCACCACCACCGTGCTCTTGCCACAGGCCTCGCCGTGCAGTGGGGTGCTATTGGTGATGTGGGCATTTTGCTGGACCTGATGGGTAACAGTGACACGACCGTGGGTGGCACGCTGCCCCAGCGCATTGCCTCTTGCCTGGAGGTGCTGGACCTCTTCCTGCAGCAGCCCTATGCTGTCCTGAGCAGCTTCGTACTGGCTGAGAAGACTGCAACCCACAGGGACAGCAAAGTCCAGCCAGACCTTTTGCAGGCGATTGCACACATCCTGGGTAAGCACTGTCTGTGGAACCTGCTCCTGAGCAACAGCACCCCCAGCCCCAGCCAGGTGTCCATCCAGAGCAGCCCCACTTGAATGGCACCTGTACTTCCCTCCCAGGCATCCATGATCTCTCCAGAATCAACCTGGACACCTCGCTGGCAGACCTGGGCCTGGACTCACTCATGGGCGTGGAGGTGCGACAGACCCTGGAGCGGGAGTACGACATGGTGCTGTCTATGCGCGAGGTGCGGCAGCTCACGCTGCAGAAGTTGCAGAAGCTGTCCTCCTCCAAGTCCAACCCAGCCAGTGGTGCGTGTGAGGGTGACAGTCAGGGGCAAGGGGCTGGCAGCAGGGCACAGAGCACACAGGTTCACATGTGTGGAAGCCAGCCTGGCATCTGCCCTATCCTTGCAGAGCTAGAGTCCCCCAAGGCTAAGGAGGGCAACCAGACCCAGCCACAGGGCCAGCTGAACCTGAGTACGCTCCTGGTAAACCCCGAGGGCCCCACCCTGACACGGCTCAACTCGGTCCAGAGCACTGAACGGCCGCTCTTCCTGGTGCACCCCATTGAAGGCTCCACCACTGTGTTCCACAGCCTGGCTGCCAAGCTCAGTGTGCCCACCTATGGCCTGCAGTGCACCCAAGGTATGTGCCCAGTCCTCCCTGGGTGGCTACAGCCAGCGGGCCCTCCCAGCTGAGCACCTGGTACTGCCATTGCAGCTGCCCCCCTGGACAGCATTCAGAGCCTGGCCGCCTACTACATTGACTGCATCAAGCAGGTGCAGCCTGAAGGACCCTACCGTGTGGCTGGCTATTCCTATGGGGCCTGTGTAGCCTTTGAGATGTGCTCCCAGCTGCAGGCCCAGCAGGAGCCAGCTCCCGCCCACAACAGCCTCTTCCTGTTTGATGGCTCACACACCTATGTGCTGGCCTACACCCAGGTGAGCCAGGTGGTAGGATCGCCAGTATTCCAGCTCCAGGTGGGCCACACTCACCTCCCCTCCCGTGCTGCAGCCACTGCCCTCCTTCCCTGCAGAGCTACCGCGCAAAGATGACCCCTGGCTGTGAAGCGGAGGCCGAGGCTGAGGCCATTTGCTTCTTCGTGCAGCAGTTCACTGACGCAGAGCACAACAGGGTGGGTCAGGTGTGGGGCAGGATGAGGTCAGGGTCTCTGCCCCTGTGACACAGGGCTAGGGTCAGGCAGGCTGAGCTCCCACACTCAGAGCCTGCCTTGTAGATGCTGGAGGCACTGCTGCCGCTGAAGGACCTGGAGGAGCGTGTGGCTGCTGCTGTGGACTTCATCACCCAGAGTCACCAGAACCTGAACCGACGGGAGCTTCGCTTCGCCGCCCTGTCCTTCTACTACAAGCTGCGTGCAATTGAGCAGTACACACCCAGGGCCAAGTACCATGGCAATGTGACGCTGCTCCGGGCCAAGACTGGTGGCGCCTATGGCGAGGACCTGGGCGCCGACTACAACCTCTCACAGGTGAGTGGGCAGGCAGCACCCAGGGCAACTGGCCAGACTCGGTCCTGGAGTGAGGTCTGGCTCACAGTCCCTACCCACAGGTGTGTGATGGGAAGGTGTCTGTGCACATCATCGAGGGTGACCACCGCACACTGCTGGAGGGCAGCGGTCTGGAGTCCATCATCAGCATCATCCACAGCTCTCTGGCTGAGCCACGAGTCAGCGTGCGGGAAGGTTAGGCTCCTGGCCACTGCCAGCCCATCACCAGGGACCATGCCAACACACCACACCGACACCTAGCATGCAGGGGTTGGGGAGGGTCCCGCCAGTGGAACCTGCCCAAGGCCTAGCACCACCGCCTCCCCTTGGTGGCTGCTAAAATAGGACTGTGACACACATCCCATCCACTTGCCACCTCCCAGTGGGTGCCAGGGAACCCCAGAGCTGCTGACTCGGAGACACTTTGGTCTGTGAAGAGCCAGTGGGACCGGCAGAGCCGGGCTGAGCCTTTTGTACTGTGTGGAGTTGGCCACACTGGTTGGTTGTTGTTTCTGCATTTAGATTCTCGTATTTATTACATTCCTGGGCAAGACCCCCAGGGCTGGTCCCATCCTGTGAAGATGGCGGGCTCTTGGGGGCACCACACCCTCTCTACTGTGCACATGCGCTGCCCAGGCGCCCTGCTCCTTCTGCCTACTGCGGGGAGGGCTGGTCCCTGGGTCCCCAGCACCTGGCTGCACCCATGATGTAGGGCCAACCTGGCCCTGCGGACCGCACCGGGTACCAACCTGCGTTTGTGTTTGTTTTGCAAAAACAATTCAAATTGCTGCTTGGATTTTGAAATTGATTGTACTTGTCAGTGTGAAGAACCATGTCTGGATCTTGTTTCATTTTTACACCAACTTGATAAAAATGCTGCTCTTGATCCCATCCCCTGAGCCTCCCCACTATTAAAGCGCATGTGAGCTCCACCTCTGGCTAAGTTCCTTTTTCCTTCCTGATCTGTGATGCAGGGTATAGCCCTGTCCTGCCGGGAGTCCTTACCGTGGCTCCCATTTGACTACCTGTGTTTGTATCTGGGCTCACTCCAGGGAAAGAGAAGCAGGCCAGAGCCTGCTGGGCACCTAGGGGTGGGGGATAGGAGTCTGCTCGTGTAAGTGGGCAGAGTCTCCTCACAAATGGGTGCCAAGGCTTCTGCCCACTGTGTATGTGGCTGGGGGCAGAAGATCCCTGGCAGTCACCACCTAGGCAGGATAGTCTCCCTGGGGATTGTTCTGAGGGCTCAGCTGATGGGATGGGCCCCCAGAGGAAGCAACACTCCCCTTTCCTCATTTGGTTGGGGGAGGTGCCACCTACCAGCACCTGGTTATGGTAGGAAGGAAGTCCTCAAAAAAGGGGGGTACAGGGGCTGGGGATTTAGCTCAGCGGCATAAGTACCTGCCTTGCAAGCAAGGAGTCATGAGTTCAATCCTGGAATATCAGGAAAAAAAAACATAAAAAGTACAACACTGTCTATGTAATTTTTTTTTGAGACAGGGTCTCGCTGTGCATTTCAGGCTGGCCTTGAACTCACTTAGTCCAGGCTGGTCTCGAACTTGCAAAGATCCTCCCACCTCAGCCTCCTGAGTGCTGGGATTACAGGTGTGAGCCACCACACCCGGCTTGTCTATACAATTCTAAATGTACCCAGAGGATTACTCACAATAATGTGCTGGGCGAGGTGCCCCATACCTGTCGCAGTTCCTCCAGAGTCTAAAGCAAGAAGATCACAAGTTTAAATCCAGCTTGGACAACTTAGACCTTGTCTCAAAATAAAAATGGCTTAGTGGTAGAGCTCTTGTCTTGCCTGCACAAGGCCCTGGATTCAATCCCTAGCACCACAAAATACAAATAATAAAAAGGGCTGGAACTAAAGCTCAGTGTGCCAAGGATTGTGAAACTCAGAGTTGTTCCTTCTTTATCAGTGATGGTAACTTTTCAACAGGGAACCTTTGAAGGCAAATTCTGGTCCATTATCTACCAGGAAAGTTACAGGTTTGCCTCCCAGCATTTAAAATGACCACAGGCTCCAGGGGTCCAATTTGATAGAGCTCAATCTGTCCTATCCATCCAGGCCAAACAGGGCAAGAAGAGGTTCAGGTTGAGGTGGCCCTGGATAATCAAGTTTCTTTGAGTTTCTCTCACAGAGGAGGCATTTATTTTTATGTCTAAAACTCTATGATGTATAGCCAGAGGGTATGTATGGTCCATCAGACTGGATTCTCTTATGGACATCGGATTTTTTATCAGATTTCTGGTTGATGGGCTTTTTATTCCCCTTCTTGGATGTCTTTGAGAAATGCTTGACTGATTTTACACTTCTAGGTGGGGTGACCTTTGAGAAAGGTCATGGCAACTCATTTGTCAGGGCTGAGAGTCCAATTTTTCCTCAGTCAAAATGTGGAACTCAGAAGGAATTGCTGACAGTCATCTCGGTGGGCACTAGACGCCACCTAGCAGGATCTGTGTGGCTGTGAGGTAGAAGCTGGGGCAAGGTCTCCATGATGGAATACAGGTAATGGCTAGCTGGGACTAGGTCAACTGACTGTAAGTGTATGAGTTGAGAGCAGGGAATGAGGTTATAGGTGTTGGCAGTTACAAGTGTTGGAGGTCAATGCCAAGGCAGGATTCTCAGGAAAAATGGGCTTCTTTTTCCTTAAAATTCTTGGAATGGTTTAGTTTCATTTTTAACTCCATAAAAATTCTTTTTTCTGCAGCCAGGGGCTGGATTTGGACTACTTCCTGTCTCTGATTTCCTATATGTGCATTGTGTACGCATGAACAATGCCTCACCAAACAAAGGGTGGGTGCCCCTCAGAAAGAAACCATTCAGATGCCGCCTGGCCACACCCCCTCCCAGGCACTTAGCCACAGCTTAACTAAGAAGTGTGTGATGCCTCTAATATGTCATTTGTTGATCACCACTGAACTGCAGGTGAGGGCCCAATGAGCACCTCAACCAGTGCTTCCTAGTCTTGGTGCTCTGCCAGAGCAGCCTATTACCTATGCTGTCCACTCAACTCACACATCCATTCAACAGGCACTCAGAGGTTAAACAGTCCAACTCCCTTCCCTTGAGGGTGGTTCTGACTAACAAGAGTGGATCAGACTGCCTTTATGCTGCCTTTATGCTTGAGCTGAGCAGGATTGACAGACTAACTGGGGTGACCCCGGGGTTTCACTGGAATCAGGCAGGCAGACAGACAGACAGACTGCATCTTCATCCCTTTGGCTCTGATGGGAGCTATTCTGAAGCTGGGAGCCAAGAATTCTCCTCCAGACCTCCAAGGAAACTCAAGAAATCTCAAAGGTGTGCATTCCTGTCAAGACCTGGAGAGGTCCTTGCTTCATCTATGAGGGTCATGGCTAGTGACTGAAGAGATCAGCATAGTTGGTATTCCTGGCCAACACACCACACACGATGACAAGCAGAAACTGAAATGACATTCAAGATTTGGAGGTAGATTTATTTAATACCAGGCAGGCACTGACTAGGAGTCAATTATTCCTCAAAATATAATGCCCCAACCTCTGGTGTCTTGGGTTTACGTGGGATAAGCAAGCAAAAAATACAGAAACAGAATGACTTGTCAGTTGGGAATTGATTCTTACAATATGCATCACAGTGATCAGCAGTTTCTAAAAAACAAAAGTAACAGGCACTGTAACTAGATGTAGTACCTGGGCAAATAACAGACTGAAGAATACTGGCTGGGGAGGGGACATCTGCTACAACTGTACTACCACTCTGGAAAACAAGCTTTTTAAAATTTTAATGGGACTTCCAGGAAGATGTCGGAGTGATGAACAGCAGAGAAGCAGGCAGCAGAATCCAAGGTTCGGTGTCCTGATGCTGGAATATAGAGTGAGGATGAGAAGGAGAGAAGGGGATCCCCAGGACCCAGCAAGAATCTGAAGTGAGAACTGAAACCCACAGAGTAAAGGGAGAGACCTCAATGCAGCAGGAGGTGGCAAGCAGCACTTTCTCCAAGCCCTGATTCACTGTCTCACTGACTCATCTGTGCCTCGAACCTGAGATGCATGGTGACTGCTGGTCACCCTAAGGCCTCTGCAGAGAAATACACCAGTGAAACAGCAATGGATGCCGCAGACTGCAGTAGCTGGTGAGTTATTCAGCTACTGGATGGTCCACAGGAAAGGGCACTGGCCAAACGAGCTCAGCATTCAGAGCAACTGCAGGCTGGTTCCATCTAGCGGCTCCCGAGGTCAGGGGAGCTGCTGAGTTCAAGTCAACAGGAGGTCAAGAAGCTGAGTCCAAACTGTCAGGAGGCACGTGGAGTGTTGCATGCTGAACAAATTGGGTTCCAGCCTCAACGAGAAACCAGTTTAAAATGCAATGGAACTAGACAAAAAAAAAAAAAAAAAAAAAACTACAAATAAAAAGGCTGGGGATTTAGCTCAGCGGCATAAGCACCTGCCTTGCAAGCAGGCAGTCGTGAGTTCGATCCCCGGTACCGATAAAAAGGAAAAAGACAAAATATAAATAAAGGTGCCAAATTACTAGTTACCGCCGTTTGTCATTTCCTAGTCAGTGTTTCATGCTACTGCAGATTGTACTACTTTAGTCACCATGACATAATTCTTCTGACAAGCCAAGACTGAGATTGCCTAAGGATCATAAATGCTACAATAGTCCAGTACCAAAGCGCCAAGATCTAGGCCAAATAGCAGCAGCTTCTCATTCCTGATAAATTGAGGAGGTACGATCTTACAGCAAAACCCAAAAATCAGCTACACACCTAGAAGACATCTCTTAGAAGAGATTTTAAATACTAGCAATAAAGCTACCTGCCATAAGCAATTTATAAGCACTAACCAAGGAATTAAACTACAAAATAAAGAAATGAGAAGACAAACCAGATCCAACTCAGACTTCCAACTCACCAAAGGCAAAACCAGGGAGCAATGAGGTGGAACAATTCAAAAGCCCCCCACCTGCTGGGGATTTAGCTCAGAGGCATAAGCGCCTGCCTTGTAAGCAGGCAGTTGTGAGTTTGATCCCTGGTACCGATAAAAGGAAAAAGACAAAAAAAAAAAAAAAAAAAGCCCCCCACCTGAACTCTCCGGAATTCTGTTGACAAAGTATTCAGGAATGTAGGAGAGATCAATACATTGTCTGTATTTTTGAGAAGATGACCCGGCAGCGCACAGCAAAGAAAGAGCCTCGCTGTCCAGACGCTGGAATAGAGCATTGTGAGAAAGAGGAAAAGTGGGTGCCTGGATCCAGGAAGAATCTGAAGCGGAATTGAAGCCCGTGGAGAGAGTAAGGAGGGAAACTGTGATAGCTCAGACCCTGGAATAAAACCCAAGGAAGCAAGAAATTAAAATTTGGGGAGCAAAAACTTTATTTTAGGCCAGGCCTGGAGTCACAGTCTCCAGGAGCCAATTTGGAGACTGCGCGCCTTACAGCTAGAAAGGTTGGGTTTTAAAGCCGAAAACCACAGGAATGTTGTAATCCCTGACACAGTTAGATAGCATCTGGGCCTTATAGAACTTCCTGTAATTTCCTTGAAGTTAAGCATTACTTGAAGAACAGCACATTTTATTACAGATAGCTGGATGAGGGGTAGGGGAGGGATTATAGGAAACCAATACCTAAGGCTTTTACAGCTTTCTCAGGAAATTGAAACTTAACCTACATAGATAGGAAGGGGAAAGGGGAGGGGGAGGCAGTAAGACGCATACAGAACAGAAAATGAGGCGCAATGGTTAAAACTAGGTTACAACAGAAACTTCAGTAAGGAAGGTGGAAGCTGGCGACGCCTTCTCCCTGAGACAGACTCACTGCATGAGAGGAGCAGTTTGAACCCACAGATGCATAGTGACAGTGACAGCTGGCGACCCCGGAGGGCTCTGCAGAGAGATGCATCCGGGCAGTGGAGGGAAATAGTGGGCGTGCAGGGCCGCTTGG